AAGTCAACACTGGAAACGTACCCAAAAGCATACACACAAGGTGTGTTGGGGGGAGCAGTCCTCCAATCCTCCTTTCCTCAGGATTTAATTCATAGCTGCTAGAGTTACAGCCTTTTACAACTGAGACATTGAAGTATCAGGCCACGCACCTGCCAGAGCTGGGGGAGGGGTCCTGACCACGTGCTCACACAGACACAGTTTGGTTAAAATTTGTTAATATGAGATACCTTAACCACAATCCGTTAACACTGCTGTCTCTTTCCATTTCAATCTCCCCTCTGCCACACTTCCGCCCACACCAGATGGGGACAGAGCAGTCACAGTTTGGGGACTTCAGTGAAGTGGAGCTGAGTTAAGAATACACTTCGTTTGGGTTCAGGAAAGTGTATGGATGTGGACTATTGTCATTTCTGTGTAGAGCTGAGTCCGTCATGGCTTCCAAAAAACGGTCCTACTACCCACTGTGTATGCTCACTATGGACGGTAGGTAAGAGGCATCGCAGTGTGGCTGTCACCCGGCACTGTTACGCAACCCAGCTTAGCAAGTATTGGCAGTAGGGTGATCGTCTCAGAGTTAGAAGGCAGCGCCTGCAGAACTCATCCACTTGCCAAGCATGTAAAGTCACAAGCAGACGACTCAATACAGACCACTGGGCTGTCAGCTCTGCCCTAACTAGAGTCACCTGGGAAGAGGGAACCTCAACGGAGGAACTGCCTCCACCAGACTGGCCTTTGGGTGCATCTATGGGGCATTTTTTTTAAAATTGATGATTGATGTAGGAGGGCTCAGCTCACTGTAGATGGTGCCACCCCTGGGCAAGTGGGTCCTTGGTGTATAAAACAGCAGACCAAGTCACTGGGAACGAGCCAGTGCGCAGTGCTCCCTCATAGCCTCTGAATCAGTCCTGTCTCACTGTTGCTGCCTCGAGCTGGCTTCCATCACTGACGGACTGTAAACTGTAACCAAAACAAACCCTTTTTCTTCTTGAGTTGCTTTTGGTCACGGTCTTTATCACATCAGCAGAAACCAAACCAGAACCACTGTCTCGACAGAAATTAAATAGAAGTTCCCCTATGTCAAAACATACTTGACGATGCAGCAAGAACTGTTATAAATGTACCAGTTGGGGTCTCAATTTTGGGAATCATACAAATACACTAGGGACTAGGCAGTGGTCACGCCCAGGCAAAACTGTCTTCAAAGCAGATCACAAGCTACAAACAGGAATAAGTTGCAGGCAGCATCATGGACTCCCGGTAACAGAATTCACAAGGAAAACTGTACACTAAAAGCACTGTTTAAGTGTTTTAGTGACTTGACAATCAGCACAAAGTATTGGGATCAGTAAAGAGACCAAATGTCACATTACACCACCCGAGGTACGTGACAGCATTCAAGTTAGTCAAACAACATCTGACAGCAGTCAGTGTACACACACACACACAGAACTCCAACAGCACAGGATTGGATGGTTTGTACATGAAAAGAGCCCGATAGAGGCTTTCCCAGACCCGACAATAACCCAGTGTTACATGATGGGTTATGAAAGACTGTTCTCTGAACTAGTTAATAAAGAGCTAAGTTTGAACCACCCTGACGTCCTCACTCCAGAAATGCAAGGCCCAGATTATTTTCCCAGGAAGAGAGTCGCAAATTCTGCAGCACAAACCTGTGTGGAAAATGCTGCAGGTGGGCCTGGGAATTACATTCTGCTACTTTTGTGGATTTCGACTTGCTTTTCAATATAAATTAATTTCTATATTGTGACTTCTTTCCTCATTTAGGTTTTGTTTTCTTTTGTATCTCATCCCTCCCTCTCTCCCGTCCTTCGAGGAGGATTAACAGAATCGAATAAACTGGATGCCCACAAAATTAAATCTGCTCTTGATGAAACATTCACCTTCCTCTAGCCACAGATGGAGAAAATGAGGCCCAGGGAGGTTGTCGGATTTGCCTGAGGGCACACAGCTGGAATGGAACTGCTGGTCCTGTCACACTTGGCCTTGTCCTCGGCTTGGCCACTCAGTGGTGTCTCACTCTGGGTGCCGTTTATTCCTCGTAACTTCAGTTTCGTGCCTGGCTTTCTGCAGAGATCCATCATCTATGCTGGAAGACAAGCCTTGCCATCAGATCCCCCTTACGCTGGTGGGGGGCCGAGGTGGGAAAGAGCAAGGACCTCCTCCGGGGGACCTACCCTTCCCACGTGACAAGTGTGAAGCTGAGAGGTCAGGAGCAGTGACACCATGTAAATGAGTGTGAGTACTTCCCTCTTGGGGTCAAGTTCACCCCCTGCACAAGGCCTGTTGGTCGCCTTTTCTGGACACTTTCCTTCGTACCACTGAGAGTACGTGGGGGCCATTACCATCCTTTATGGCTTTACGAAACCCAGAGACAGACCAAATGTCTGCTGTGACAGACTTTTTCTCCCTCCCATACCCAGGGCAGCCCACATAGACCTAACCAGAAAAGCAGGCTTTGTTCTAAAGACTCACCGTGTTTCCTCAATGAAAATTCTATTTGACAACCACCAGAAAGTTCACAATGGAGGGCACTGAGAGCTCTGGCTTTATTTTTTTCCCCTCCCATTTATGCGCCCCCACCCCAGACTTTTTTTTTTTTTAAGCTATTTCTTTTATTCAAGAAGCACTTGCTTTTCAGTTCTCTAGACCAGTGGTCAGCTTAATCTGTATCTGGACACATGCCTAAGTAGATGCTTTGATATTAGAAGTTTATCATTCGAGGCAGTCAAATCTTGAAACATCAAAAGATTTACTCTTTCAAGCATTAGTGACGGGAAATTTCACTTAGTTCCTGGGCTCAGGCTATCCTGTCCCTACACACAGAATAAGGGTATTATGCAACCATCTCCTTTCCACGTAAAGTGGAAACCCTAAAAAAAAAAAAAAAAAAAAAAAAAAAAAAAAAAAAAAAAAAAGCACACATGATGAGTGATTCAGAAATCGCTGCATGAGAATATTAAAAAGCACTGTTTTCAGCACACTCATCAGAGGACAGAAGTTTAAGCACTGGAGGGGGTGATTTTCATATGAATGTTGAGTGCTGGGGGGCACAGACAAGAGCCTATTGGGTACACCGAAAACTAAGTCTTCTCAAAGGAGTGGAGGAACTATGAGTGACAGGTAGAGAGGGGGGCTGTTCAGATAAGAGACGGACCTTACTAGACCCTTTTCAGAGAAAACTTGGAAGATTTTTGTTGGGCTGTCTTCCTTGAACTGCCACAAACAGCAACAACACAATTGTAAGTGGGTGGTGTTCAGTACCACATCTGTGCCATTTATACGCCAGCTGCCAACGGCTGCCATGATAGAGAATTAGCATTAAAGAAGGATCCAAGTTATTAGGTCACCATACAACATAGGGAGCGTGTTCTGAAACGAGACATAGCACCCAACAAGTCATATAAACCAAAACCAAAATAAAAGCTCCTAGCTGAACACAAATAAATAAATAAATAAATAAATAAATAAATAAATAAATAAATAAATGGATGGATGAATAAAACCTCCTCCTTTCTTTCTCTCTCTCTCTCTCTCTCTCTCTCTCTCTCTCTCTCTCTCTCTCTCTCTCCTTTCTTTCTTAGTTTAGAAATCTCCTTCTGTGTAAACAGTGCCCAGGTCCCTACAGGAAAAATAAACAAGCCACATTTCCAGTTGTCTAATACAGACTGTATGAACTGAAGCTGGTAGAAGAGATGGGACATAAAACACAATTCATCCTCCTTTGTTCAAACAGCAGAGAAGGAACCAAAGTTGGAAAGTTCAGAGTGAAGAGGTGGGAGTCGGGAGGTGAAATCAGAATGAGTCTAGTATCTATTGGGAGCTCTTTATCAACCCCTACATCTCTATGTCTTCATTGGTCCAGGAAAACTTACCTGGATTAGAGGTTCAAATGGTAGTTCTTTGAGCCCCGAGGTTCTGCAGAGGGGCCTCTGAGGAAGCCACATTAACAAAGGAGTAAAGACAAAGTAAACAGAGTGGGGCTTCCTGTTGGGGGATATTTTGATCACACTCTGACACTCTCAAGACTGAAAATAAAGTTTACTTTGAATCAGAGGGCGGAGCTAGCTACTAGCTCATCAAAATTAGCCATAGAGGTTTTGGAGGACTGAGGACATATAGAGAGACACAGGAAGCAGTAGAGTGGGGCTTAGAAAGATTCTCAGATTTTTGGATTGAGGAAGGAGAGAGAGAGGAGGTCACTGGTTGCTTTTCCACCACTTCTCTGATCATTCAGGTTCTTACTCTATCAATATGTGACTCCCGCGTTTTTATTGATAAAGAATAATCAGATAAATGCTTCAGCCTACAGCTGCCTCTCTATTCCAAATGGATCAGAGTTTGACCATTTTGTTGCTGTCTTGTTTTTGAAACATGTAGCTGAGCTTGGCTTCTAACTTGCAATCCTCCTGCCTCAATCTCCTAAATGCGGAGATTATAGCCTTCACCACTACACGTAGCAGATTTCGTCCATTCACTGTGGAAAAATTCTCTATTTAAAAAGTTTCTTTCCAAGACAACTTCTAGCTTAACATGGCCCCAAAGCATTAGACCAGAGCACATGGTTCTCTAGAATATTGTTATTACAATTCACTACTGACTGGTTAATATTGATCCTTAAGTCTGTAGACTATGATCTCTTATTCCTAGGTACAAGGGAAGAAACTGAAACTCCTAAATTACACAGTACAGTAGCTGACAGGATTCAACCCTGGGAATGTCTAATATCAAAATTGTGGAACTCAAATCTGTTTTCACTGTTAAAAAATAAACCTCATTGTCAAAAAGTAACTTGTTTTGTTTTTGTCTTAGTGTTTGAGACAGAGAGTTTCTCTATAACCCAAGTTGACCTCAGATTCCTAAATGCTGGTGTTACAGGCCAACACCACATAAAAAATAACTTGTTCCCTCTATTCTTTGGACTCCTTCTCCACAAGGATCATCAAGCTCCTCGTGTTTATTCTCTGACAGTAGAGACTTACCCTGGGGAGCAGAAGTGAATGGCCAGCAGCTCTGCCCAACAAGCGAATCTGTTGGGGACAGGAAAGCCCAAAATGTTGACAAAGCCGCCAGGGCAGTAATGGTTGCTAAGAACTTTCAAGGCAAACAGAACTCCTAGAAGAGAACAGAGAACACACCACTATCAACAATTCCAACACGGAGAGAATCATTGAGCACAAAGAAAACGAAATATAAAAACCATTACTTATGATTACATCCAACTTGCTACTCCTAAACACAGTCAGTGAGCACGGCAGTCAGATATTTCAATGGCTCCCGACAGGGAAGTTCAAACTGCTCCCAAGTATAGGACACAGAAGGTGGGAATGGGCCACCAGCAATGGTATCAAATGCCAGGGAACTGTCACTTTACAGCAGCTCATTTTGTGCTCTATGGGTATAAACATGAACAAATACCAGTAGCATGCATTCCTGCAGCCTCTATGGAAAAACACTGAAAGCCGAGTATCTAGTGGAGCTGGAGTTATAGATGACTGTGAGCCGCCTAACAAGGGTACTGGAAATCAAACTTGGGTCCTCTGGAAGAGCAGGATATGTTCTTAACTGCTGAACCATCTCTCCATCACGATATTTATTTTAATGGCTTCCTGAGAGGCATAAGCAACATCATTCTCTCAGTAACCTTAGACCAATTCAGTTCTCCCCCTTCTATGCCTATGGGTCTTACGAAAAACTGTGGGAGGTATCAAGTACAACTGCCAAAATAAAGATGGCACAGGTTATCTTCTAGGCTTGTCCTTCAGGAATTCCTCCGATCCTTGGGTGTACTGGGATAAAGGAAGGCTGACGTTTAGAGGTTTCATCTGCAAGTAGGATATCTACAGTCGAGACCTCATCTGCCCTGGGAAGCCTTCCGAGCCTTGAGGACTAGCTCGCAGTGAACCCCAGGCTTCTACAGCTCCTTGATTGCCTATATGTAAGAATTCCACTTGCTTAGTGTTACCGGTTGCACACAAGTGTATTATGCCTCATTGGACTCGAGACAAGTTGGTAACCAGTGTACCCTGAGCCTGCTTCATGGGCATACTCAGTTTTCGAGAACACTCTTTTGTAAAGACACCCATGAGCCCCTCCATAGCATTATGAGGGGGCCGGGTGCACACTTCCAGCACTATAAAACTATCTTCTAGCAGGCCCTAGTTCTAAGTGCCTGAGAATGCAGACGCAGCACAACAGGGGACAGCCTAAGTGATGCCTTCTTAGACCCCAGTGAGTTTGCTCTGCAAGATGCAGGCGCCAGCAGCTGTTAACAACTCAGGATCCTGTCCCCTTATCAACTAGGAAAGGAAGCGGGCAACCTCCCTCGTGGCCCTCACAAGGATTTCCTGAGAAAGTGCCCACCTTACCTGAGAAACCGACAGCACAGCTCTTTCTGAAGTCGGGCTGATTCATGAATTCAGCAAGAGCAAACTGCAGGAGCAAATACACCACCCCGGTGAGTAGGGAGAAGGTGGTGATGACGTAGGCAAACCACCTGCTTCCCAGTCTTCTCTCCAGCTTTATCCCTTTCCAGAGCATGGACACCATGTTGAAATACAAATGCCAGTCATCTACATGGTGCAAGGGGGAAAGCAGTAAACGCTGCCAGTCTTTTTGCTGGTAACACTTTTCCACGCTGAGGCAAGAGTGGTACAGGGGCTTCAAAGGATTCAGGAAGAGCCAGACATTGAGAGCCAACGTTGCCAGGGTAACAGGTGGAATGTTGTTGATCCCAACATGGAACACTTGGGAAAGGAGCATGAGGAGCCCAACGTTGATCCCTCTTGATCTCCGCTGCATGACTGGGTACCAGGAGCACAGATGGGGAGCTGTGACTGAGGATTAGGAACCCAGGAAGGGACACAGAGAACAGCACCTGAAACACATATGCACATGAAGCCCATCAGCTGAGAACCCCATGTTGCTAGGACATTCGCTGGAAGAGGAGCACACACTGGCACATCCTACTTCTCATCCCAACAGAGATATTTACTTTTACTAACTTCTTTCACGTTCTAAAATAGAAATTTTATCCCAGGTCCTAGTGGACTTAAGGACAGGCATGATGTCCCTGACCAGTATGATTATGAACTTGTAATGTATCTTCCTTTTTAAAGTAATTAGTTAATTAAATTAAAAGGTAAGCCTAGCAACCTAAGTTTGATCCTTGGGCCCACAAAAAGGTGGAAAGAGAAAACCACCTCCACAAAGTTGTCATCTGACCTACACAGATGTACTGTGGTATGCACACCCACAATACAAACATTATATACACACACAATAATAGTAACAGTAATAATAATAGAAAAGACAAGGGCTAGGGAGAAGGCTCAGTGTGCAAAGCTTGTTATGTAAACATGAAAACATGAATCCAATTATCCAGAGTGAGGACCATCATCTGAGGTTGCCCCCTGATCTCCACATGCATGCCATGGCACATGTGTGCCAGCACTCACACATGTTAAGTCATACACACACACCATATACATGCACACATACACATCATATACACATAAAAAAGATTTTTTAAAAAAGCCCGACCATTTGGACAATGTCAATCAAACTACAAAGATAGTATGCAAAGATTAAGTAATTTTAATCAAATCCTTGCCAAGTCTCTTTATCTCTTCTATTATTTTTAGCAGAAACACTCAAAATGCCAACAAAGGTTTGTGAGCATATTACGGTCTAACTGAATTTTCATACTACCAGGTGTCAACTCCCTAAATTCTTCATTGGCCATAAGCTTTTAAAAACTTACCTATGTGCCAAATCCTACACTGAAAAATACAGTCCTTGTTTATAAGCTCACTTGTCACCAAGAAGCCAGCCAACCACTGCCACGGGATGTTGTAAGCACAGAGAGGGAGCCCAGGGACACAGGCACACAGTTCTGCCGGAGGTGGCGACAGATTGTCTGTTCATGTGAGTTCATTTGAGTTAGTGACGAGGAAGAGTTCTGTGAGTCAGAGGCCCTCCATGTCACCCTCCAGACTGAAGCTGGCATTGTGACATGCTTGGGGTGACAGAAAGCAGAGGGGTGGATACTACAAGAAGCCCAAACCTGGCCCCAAGGTGTGCTGCAGGTGTCTGTTCCTGTGTGGGCTTATGTCTGGGCCAGTTGGCACAGACTCCTGTCCTCTGATGGTCCCGGCCACCGGCCAGCTAACCATGAGACACAAGGCTGCCTGGCTGACACAGATGTAAAGTAGAGGCCAATGAGCCCATCCTAATTTGAACCATGGAGAGGTAAGTAAGTCCTCCAGTGGTTTGAGAAGCACAGTTACTAATACAGAAGGTATTGACTTTGGAGAGGGACTGGTGGTTCTTGTTCATGAGAAGACGGGGCTAAAAACACATCCATAAAAAGGATCAAGGGTTTGAAAAGAAGAACAGAAAATGGGGGGTGGGGAGTCAGGTAGAGATACAGGAAAAACATGTAGAGATGGTAACAGATGTTCAGAAAAATGTTCATTTACTGATGTGTGTTTTCTCATGGAGATTTCTCAGCTACCAATTCCAGGGAGCAATAACTGAGCACACTAGACAATGCATGGGCTTTATAGAAATGATGCAACTATACTTTAATTTAAAAACATTAAAATATTTAAAGAAAAAAACATTAAAAAAAAAAGCTTCTACTTAGGAGCACCTTAAGTGAGCCCATAGCTCTAAAATGGAATAACTAGCAATATCCCAGGATTGCTAAAACATTCTAGGAGCAAAGGAGGTGCTGGGAAAGGGCTAGCATTTTCACTTCTATAGGGTCATATCACTTATGCTGAAATCAGTTCAGCAAAATCAGTTTCTTATTCTTCTGTATAGCATATAATGAATTTTAGTCATCTTCACATCATCCCCCCAACTGTCCCGCTGGCACCCTTCTAGACATGTCCCCCCCTCCCCCATGTACTTTCGTGTTTTCTTCTTGTGAATTTAGAGTTACTTGCTGGAGCACCGCATGGAGCACGGGCCACTTATCTGTGGCTACATCACTGAAGACAGTAATACACCCGCCCCCCACCCAAGCTTTGATTGCTGATAATCCTTTGGGGGAGGATGTGGCCTCACTGGTCCCTACTTCATCCGTGATGAAGTGTTGACGGGTCCAATCTTGTACAGATTGTGTGTAGAGAACCATGGCTGTAGTGACTTCATGAGCGCAATGGCTAGGTCATACCCAGAAGACATCTCTTTACTGCACACCTCCCTCCCCATTCTCAGCTCTTACATTCTTTCCACTCCCTCTTCTGAGACTGTTCCCTGCCTGAGCCTCTGAGGGTGGATCATGGGGGTTTGAATGAGAATGGTTCCTACAGGCTCCTATGTTTGAATACTTGGTCTCAAGGTAGTGGAACTGTTGGAGAAGGGTTGGAAGGTATGGCCTTGTTAGTGTGTCATAGTGGGCTGGCTTTAAGGTTTCAAAAGAATCATGCCATTTTCCGTATGTTCTCAGCCTCCTGCTTTTAAGGTTTGAGAGGCGAGCTCTCATCTATTCCTGCCACCATGCCTTCACTCTGCTATCATGGACTCTAATCTGCTGGAACCATAAGCACAATTAAACGATTTCTTGTATAGGTTGCCTTGGTCATGGTGTTTTTATCACAGCACCAGAAAAGTTACTAATACAGGTATTAAGGTTGTCCAAGTTGGGGCAAAACACTCCACCATCACTTATTCTCAGCCCTTGGGACAGCTATGGATTTCTGCATTAACCAATGCCTGCTTGCAGTAAGAAGTGTATCTGAGGAAGGTGTGCTAGACAGTCTTATGCCAACTTGATACAAAGTATAGAGGGGAGGGAAGCTCAAATAAGAAAATGCCTCCATAAGATCAAGCTGTTGGCAAACCAGTAGGGCATTTTCCTAATTAGTGATTGATGGGGGAGGGCCCAGCTCACTGTGGTTGTTATCACCCCTGGGCTAGTGATCCTAGGCTCTTTAACAAAGCAAGCTGAGCAAGCCAGGAGAAGCAAGCCACTAAGCAGCACCCTTCCATGGCCTTTGCATCAGCTCCTGCCTCCAGGTTCCTGCTCTGTTTGAGTTCTTGTCCTAGCTTCCTTTGGTGATGGACTATGATGTGGAACTGTAAGCCAAAGAAATCCTTTCCTCCCCAACTTGCTTTTGGTCATGGTGTTTCACCACAGCAACAGGAACCCCAACTAAGACAGCAGGCTAAGAACAGCACTTTTGGGGTATGAACATGAGTACTTGGAAAGCGGCAGACAACATGATTGTTCAGCAGAACAATAGTGGGAGATTTCCCTACTAGAGCCTAGGACCTCCACAGTCAAGGTTTATCAAACCAGCATATAAAACCAGAAGACCAGGACACCTTCACGATCTCTATTTGCCCACAGCTGTATCAATCTTCCCACCATGTGATGTGCATTACTCTACCTTTCAGAACACTCTATCAACTTCATAGAAAGGAACGTGTGAGTCACTTAAAATGCACTGACAGATTGCTTTGCCAGAACTATCTGGCAAACAAAACGCCATTTTAATTATGTGGTAATATACACTAGACAGCACTATATCAAGGCTGTGGCAGAGACATGGAAGATTTCTTGAATATTGATGGGGAAATTAGCCATATTTACTTTTAATGAGAAATTAAAAATTAAACAGGTATGTAATAAGAAAAACTACGCGGCTAGAATAAACAAAGAAACTGAGTTCATAACTTGAGAAACCAGTGCGTCTCCAGGGGAATAGAAAGGGAAAAGAAACTAATTACAGGGAATTTTCAATTCTACTTGCAAAGCAGAAAATATTTCACCATTATCATTTACCAAGGCAGTATATATCTCAATTTTCAGATTTAAATGTTCAATAAGAACTGAAACCATTAAATTGCAAGAATATATACAAGCTATAAATTCTATTCCCAATTTAGTATGTGATACTAACCAAATTAATTCCACAAGAGAAACAGACATGATAGAGTCTTAATGGGAGTAATTAAACACCACGCTGAAGACTGGGGTCTCTGTATTATTGTAAGGGCAACAAATTCACTGAAATCATCTTACATTGTGTGGCTCCCTCTCCAAGAAACTGTTTATTGTTACAGAGCTGAGAAAGATCAATGGTGTGCCATTACTGCTCCAAGACCTTTGGCAAATTTCATTTAACAATTTTACATAAATATTCTTTTTAAAAAAATCATAGGGGAAATGTGATTAACAAGTGTTTATCAAAGGCCTGCTATTGCCCAGGCTGAGAGCTTTCTAAATGTCCGACTTTCTAAACACCGAAGTTTAGAATTCTTTAAATGGAGACTTAATTCACATACCATAATAATCACACTCTTGAAGCGCACAACTAAGGGGATTTTAGTATATTCATAGGTTGTGTAACCATAACCAGTATTCCAGAACTTTCTTGGTGCCAAAAAGAAATCCCATGCCTTTTAGCAGTCTCAATGCCTCTCTTCCCCCAGATCTTACTAATTATCCGCCTAATTCCTGTCCATTGTCTCTTCTGGACTTCTCATGTGAGATTATTCAATACAGAGCATCTGACTTCTTTTTCTTACTCCCAAGATCACTCATATTACACACCAATATTTGTTATATTCAAGTAATATTTCATTGTATAGATGCACCATATCTTCTTTCTCTACTCATCAGATGGGACTGTCCACTGTTGGCAGCCTGGCCCTATGATGCATAATGCCCCCATGATCCTAGTGTGCTATTCTCTGTATGAACACGCACTCCTAGGAGTAGAGTTACTGGGAAAAACAGCAATTCTGTCTTAACTTTTTGAGTAATAAATTGTTTTTTAAACTCATGCACCATTGTGTGCTCACTCTCGTAGGGTGCAAAGCCTCCGACTTTATCATATTAAGAACCTTTGCTTTTTATCCGTG